CCCCCCAGACATTCCAACTCCTCCAGCTGCCTCAGCCTTTCCCTTGGAGAATCGGAGCTCTTGTAATTTTCAAAATTAAATATTTTGTTCAACCTGCTGGTTTTCTTCATGACATTTGTTGTATAAACAGATTTGTCACATTTATGCTGCACTTTGTGGCGCTACAACAAACAAGAAATCTCTGATCTTRATGCGTGATTATTTTACCTGTGAAATGATGACACCTCATCACTAGGTGGAGGTGCTTGTGCTGTTGAAAAGTAGGAGAGTTCAGAACTGAATACGGCTGCTACCACAGCTCAACAGTGATCCCTCTTTACCTTTTAATAGTATGTCTGTATTATTTATCTCACATTTAGTCAGATGCACACGTAGTACTTTTCAGTGTTTGTAAGAGGATGTGTTGAAATGCTGTTTCTATGCAGRAAATACCACGTAGAGCTCGGTTTGTTGGCTGTTCTTAGTCGTAGCAATGAGACGAGGAACGYCAAAGTYACAACAGGTCCTCTGAGTGCCACCACAAGGCTTATGTGGCCCTCGGTGAAAGTGAGTTTGACACATCTGCCTTAAGAAACTGTTGCTGCTCAATAATCTGTGTTAGAGGTTTAACGCCATTTAAAAAAAACAAGGTGAGTCAAAAGTCACAGGACACCCTTTTATTTCCGAAAGAAAAGAGAAAAAGAAATGTCTGAATACTCTGGCAAGTAATTAATGAGTGAGGTCCTATCTCTATGTCCAGAACATGGCTGCCATTGTGAAAAGGTTGGCCCCATCACACGTTACATGCCACTGGAAAAAAATTAATCTGACTTCAATTTCAGGATTCTTGGATTCCCTAATAGTAATGCCATTTTCCCTTTTTCTTTCTGAAATGAAAGTGTGTCCTGTGCCTTTTGACTCACCCTGTGTTTGGACTTTACAGTTCAATTAGAAATACTTTATAAATAAGTGAAAATATTACTACCTGTAAACTTCTCAGGTGTAGACGCTTCAGTAATTTCATCTCTAATTATACTACGTGACTTTCCAAGGATCAAAAAGAGCTACGCTTCAAATTTTTAACTTCTAAATACCCGTGTTGGTAAATAAGATATTTTCACTTAACTAGTTAAGATTATATGATTTGTGTGGTAGTGACGCCAGGAAAAACATCTTATCTAAAAAAAAAGGCATGATTTAGGTTTGAAATTTTCAATCTGAACAGAGCTGTGTGCAAATTTTCAATAAACCAAAGCGGAAAAGAAACTTTTATAACTCACAGAAACATGTTTTACCCCATTTGTTCGAAAAGAAAAACAAATCTGAAGCACGGTGGTGGACGTGTGATGATTTGGGCTTGTTTTGTAGCCAAAGGATCTGGGCATCAGAAGTCTATAAAGTACTTGAAAAAAAACTGATTACAAGTAAAATTACATAAACTGAAAATGACTTAAATAAATTTTACTGATGGGAAAACTACTCAAGTAAAAGTTGTAGAACTGTTCACAAAAATTGGGAAAGTAAAAGTAAAATTAGTTTTACACACTCTCTAAGAAACGAACTGTTGAATTTACTGAACCAAACTGGTTTATCTAAGCCAGGTTGAATAAATTGAGCAACATGTATATTCTTTGCTCAATTTACTCAACTYGGCTTAGTGAAGCCGKTTGACATGACTTTAAGTAAATTCAACTCTTAATTTTTTAGAGTGCAGAAGCATCTTTCATGATGAGTTCAAACATCTTTAATTTGTAACGAGTTAACTACGTGTTACATTTTAAAGTAAAGAAGTAAAAGTATCAATTTTAGCTTTAAAATGTGATGAAATAAAAGTAGCTGTTTAAAAAAATAATTAGTAAAATTACAAATCTTCAAAAAAATAAAACTAATTAAGTACTGTAACGAAGTAAATGTACTTAGTTACTATAAAGCTCTGCTGGGCATCTTGCAGTCATCACGTTGACCCTGAGCTCCTCTGTAGCTCTTTGAATGTTCAGAGTGCTTACAAC